TTCCCTTGAAATCCCAGGTTCCCAGTTTTCCCAGTTCCCGAGTTACCCAAATTCCAGCCAGAAAATCTCACGGGCCATACGGGGCAACCACGCATGACTGGTGGCTGGATTTGATAAACTTAGGCAATGAACTGCTTGTGAGGCAGAATATTCACGGTTCACTGCTTGCTTCTTGTCGAGCTATCAGCAACCGAACCCACATCGGCACGTAGAATATTTCAAGGCAAACATGGCTTTTTTAAGTTTTTTGTGCGTTCTGCGCGTTGTAACATCAACACAAAAGGCATATTTTCACGTCTCCGTCGGTGTGTGTTTGTGTGTGTTCAAGCGCATTTTGTCCCGCACTTTCAACTCGGGAATTGCGAAAGCTAGGAAGCTGAGATTTTAGTGGAACGTTCCCCGTTCACGTGCGACCCAGTAAACTTAAATTCAGCCTTCAGTTTCTCCCGGGCACCATGTACGACACCTCGAAAATTTTGGTGAGGAAAATTACTATCTTTGGAACCACGAAAACTGAGAGCTGAAATTCTACAGGATTGATCCTTCGCCACGTGTAACACTTCAAATTCAGTACTTCCGTTCTTCTGAAGGCCACGTATGGCCTCGTGAAAGCTTCGGTGGGGAAAACTACTATCTCGAGAACCATGAAAGCTAGGAAGCCGGAATTTTAGGCTAATGTCCTCTGCCAATACAAAACCCGCAAATTCGAATTCAGCTTCCTCGTAAGCCTAGGTCTCACGTATAACTCTGTGGAATTTATGATGGGAAAAATTATTGTTTCGGGAGCAAGAACAGCTAGGAGGCAGAAAACTTCAGGAGGTTGTTTTCTGCTTATGCAGGGAGTAAAAAACTCAAATTTAGCTCCCAAGTATGACGAGGTCTCACGTACAACCACCATGTGAAGGTTTCGGCGCGAAAGTTACTCGGAAGCCGGAAAGCTAGGAGGTTGAAGTTTCGGGACAACGTTCACCGCCCAAGGTTTCAAATTCAGTTTTTACGTACTGGTACGTTAAGTTTTTAATGGGAAATTTTGCAGCTCAGGAATCAAACAGTATTTCGACTACTTTTGCACAGGCCAAAATTTAAAACAATGAAAACTCTTAGCAGGCCAAGAGTTTCCAATGTTTTAAATTTTGCTGGTCAGAACTGCACAAAACGTATGATCGCTAAAGCTACCATGGTACGCGCTGCTATTTCTGTGATTCTTCCGTATTCACAGCTGTAGCAAAACTTCATATGCAAGCTGTAGCGCACAAAATTTTATTAAAAACTGAGAAAAAGGAAGGCTGGAATGAAAGACGCATGAGAATACAGGG